TAATATTTTGATTCTGGTCTTAGATCTTTAATGCCATATATAGGATGTCAACAAAAAAAATAATGCTCTCAAAAGGCAGGTTAAGTAATACCCCCAAATTGTTTAGATTAGACTAAATTACCCGATGTACTTTATGGCTGGTGTCTGTTAGAAGTAAAACAGAACAAAATTTCCCAAGGGGAAAATATTAAAAATGCAAGCGTATTTTTTTATATTTTAAATGGACACACTTTTCTATTTAAACTTATCATCAAATTTCTACCTTGAATATACAGAGATTTATTTACTTTTGGCCACTGAGGTGGTTCTGTATGCAAATTTAACAGAGCAAATATAAGAGATCCATCCAACTGTGGCTAAATGAACCACTGAAATCACAAAGGCACATATTAAAAGGAATTTGTGATGACTTCAAATTGCTCTTTTGCTAATTTAGATCTTGTAACTCTCAATTTGGCTTAATTCATATACATAGATTTGTAGAACAGGCTGTTTGGTTATCGGTCCAATTCTAGCATTTCCCCTTCTGTCTCCATAGTCTTTTGATAAGCCTCATCATGACCATGACCGGCAAGGCCATGTCAGCAGGAGCTCAGAGGTGTCAGGGCAGTGGGGGTGGGGGGGCAAGTTACCTACAAGTGGAGAGATTTTTTTTTTTTATCTTCGCATCCTCCATGTCTCTGCAGTTGTTTTCCTGTGCTCTGAATGACTGAAAGCATGGGCAGCTGCTTTATTTGATTCCTCTCTTCAGTGGCCCTTCTGAGCATTAGATCTCTGAAATTACTACAGAGCAGGAAGAGCAGAAGGTGGACAGGGAGGAACAGGAATGCCTTGTGTAGCCCAACACAACAAGCTGGGGAGTAACTCAGGTCAATGAAAGTACCCTAAAATGGGCCTATGTTAGCTTCTCAAAGGAGAGCACAGAGTTGAGAGACTCAGCTGGATCCACACCTCTAGAAGAAGTAGAGCCATATGGCAGGTGGGAAAACACAAAGATTGCCAACTCTTTCTGTATTTACAATGAACATCTCCTAGTTGGGTGAGTGGGTTATTTATAATACTGGGTTTTGAATCCAGAATCATTTACATTTTCTTTATTCCGGGAACCATAAACAAGCAGGTTTTATTTAAAAAGTATTTTCTGACAGTACGGTATCTCATCTCTGAAGACTTTATGGCAAAGTCTCATTTTTTAACTTGTTTTAGTATTGGGGGTTGAACCAAGAGCCTTGTACATGCTAAACACATACATGACCACTCCGAACTACATTTCTACCCCTGTTTTAAAGTATTTTTGATGAGTTTGTATACCTTATACATAAGAGTAGGGTTCAGTGTGATATTTTAACACTACACCCAGCTTACATTACTCAAATCCAGCTTCCTTTCTGAAAATTCAACTTTCAGATTGAAATTTTTTATTTTCCACATATGAGAAGGAACATACTTTATTTGTTCATGTCTGACTTATTCACTCAACACAATGACTTGATTTCCATTCATTTTGCAGCAAACAAAAAGATTGTGTTCTTTTTTTTTTTGGGTCCGGTCGTGGGGCCTGAACTCTGGGCCTGGGTGCTGTCCCTCAGTTCTTCAGCTCAAGGCTAGCGCTCTACCACTTGAGCCACAGCACCACTTCTAGCTTTTTTCTTTTTGCTTATGTGGTGCTGAGGAATTGAACCCAGGGCCTCATGCATGCAAAGCAAGCTCTCTACCACTGAGCCACCTTCCCAGCCCTATTATGTTCTTTTTTATAGTTGAATAATACACCATTATATGTAAGTATACACACATATTTATATATTGATGAGGAACTAGCCTAATTCTATATCATAGCTATTGTGATATACATGAGTATGTTGGTTTCTGTTTGGTATGCCGGTTTCCTTTCCTTGGGTTATATACCTAGGAATGGAATAGCTGGATTGTATGGTAGATCCATCTTTAGTGTTTTGATTAAGCTCTCTATTTTTCTCCATAATGTACTAAGAGTTTCATTTTCTCCATTTCTTTGTCTCTGTTTTAAATGATTATTTTCATAATAGCCATTCTGGCTAGGATAAGGTGTTATTGTAATTTCAATGATTTTCCTGAAAGCAAATGATGTTGAGTACCATCCCTGATTTTTTGACCATTTGCATTCCTTCCTTTGAGGAATGTCTGTTTATATCATTTGGGCATCTAAAAATTGGAATGTTGGCTTTTTTCCTGTTTAATTTTTTTTCTATAAGTTTTTTATTGTAAAGATACTGTACAGAGGGATTACAGTTACACGAGTAAGGTAATGAGTACATTTCCTATCAAGCATTGTTGCCTCCTCCTTTGTTTTTCCCCTACCATCCCTTCCCTCCCACCTTCACAAACCTCCTACAACTACACTCCTCCCTCTCACCCTACCCACCCCCCCAGCCTAAATTATAAAGTTCATTTTCAATATAGCATCTTGTACATCTCATTGCTACAATGGGTCAACCTGTATCCCTATTTAAACATTTTGGTTTTTCCCTTCCCCTCCCCAAATTAGACCAACATCAAATACAGTGAAAACAGGGGTTATACCATGGGGGAGGAACATACTAAGCAACAAAAAAATCACATGGTACATTATAACTACGTTAGAAACAATAGCAAGAAAGAAAAAAAACTACTTGTGTCCCTATCTTGGGGTTCATTTTGCTTAAGATCATCTTATCTGGTCATATGTACACAGCTTTTGACCTTTTCTGCTTGTCCCAGACATATACTAGTTATTGCAAATAAGGGAAACCATGGAACCTATGTTTCTTTGGGCCTGGCTTACTTCATTTAATATATTTTTTTCCCAGTCTTTCCATTTCCTAACAAATGGGGCAATGTCATTCTTTCTGATGGAGGCATTGGTGGGAGTGTAAATTTGTTCAACCATTCTGGGTATGGAGGTTCCTCAAAAGACTCCACATAGAGCTCCCCTATGACCCAGCAATTCATTATCTTTTTTTTTTTTTAACAAATGCATTTTTCATTGCTATTGTAAAGGTGATGTACAGACCAGTCACAGTTACATAAGTCAGATAAAGAGCACATTTCTTTTTGAACAATGTCACCTCTTCTTTGACTTTTTCCCAGTTCTCCCCTCCCATCCCCACCACCCTTCATTATGCCTTTCATGATCGTTTTGCAACTATCTACTAATTGTCTCTTTTCACACACCTCCAGGCACAAGCACTTACACTTCCTCCATCTGCAAATCCTGTTTTCTCACTTTGCCTTAATTTCTCACTCAGCACTCAAATATCACTGTAGTAGTCCCTCCTTATTTTATTTCAGTTTCTATTCACCCCTTCTCTAGATCTCCTTATTTTAAATCGTATCTTTTTTTGATTTATGTTTCTTCGTCGCTAAAATCTGAACAATCCAATGTAAGATGACTTTAAAAAAAATTCTCAACCATTTTTAAAAATGATCTTTAATTCTTTGTACAAAAAAGTTACCATCCAAAAATCAGGTTATGAACACAATGCATCTTGATCAGGGTCATCCCTCTCAACCCTACCCTTCCCTTCAATTTTCTTAATTTTGTAAGATATGCATTAAATTTTATGACTGTATCTCCCACCCTCCCTTTTGGTCCTTTTGGTTTGGTGTTATGTTTTCTTGTGCTTAGAACACAGCAAATTCTAAGCAAATATTTATTGATTAACTATGTAATCAAGAAAACATTTATTCAACATCTTTGGGGTTTTGAGCAGCTCAGTATAATCATTAAATACCAAATTGAAGCTCTGCAACTATCGTGCACTATTTATAAAGAAGAAAAGTGAATTGGGAGGCAGAATTCATTTCCCTAAATCTGGAAACCGCCCATTGTGTAGCTCAGTTTTTTTTTCTTTTTTTTTGGGGGGGGGGTCTGGTGGTGGGGCCTGAACTCTGGGCCTGGGCGCTATCCCTCAGCTCTTCAGCTCAAGGCTAGCGCTCTACCACTTGAGCCACAGCGTCACTTCCAGCTTTTTTCTTTTTGGTTATGTGGTGCTGAGGAATTGAACCAAGGCCTCATGCATGCAAGGCAAGCACTCTACCACCGAGCCACCTTCCCAGCCCTGCTCAGTTTTTTTCTGATTCTATATTAGCTTTTTCTTCTTTGTTAGTAGGAGGTAAAGATAAGTTCACTTCTTGGAAATGGGTGAGTTATTTCCATTTTGTATCTCCTCTTGTTGATACCAGAGGTGACTTTCTTCCTTTCTTCTCTATCCTTAACACCTAGCAGGGACTCTCAGATGGGGAACAAGATCAGTAGTTATTTGTCTTCATCACTAAATGATCACAGCTGACTAGTTGATGGCTTCTGCAATCTTACAGATGGTCAGTTTTCCTTCTAAAAACTAGGGTAGGGTTTGAAGAAGCAAGTTGAGAGACAAATTAAGCAAGTTGAGGAACCAAATTAGGAATACTGGACATGTTTTCCACAGGCGCTGTCCACCATGGCCTTGTTCTTGGCTTTCGTGGTATTTTTTATTCACCATCTCTCTCCTGTGGAGAAGAAGGCTGAGAATGCTACAGAGAAAACCACACTGTAATCAATTAATGCCTTCTAAGAAGATCACTGGAGCATGAGGCTTCTCTGAGGGTGTATTTTCTAGTGTCAGGTAGGAGGAAGAAGGAGAAAAAAGGATTTGAACAAAAAGAAAAGGATGCAAGGGATAAAATATCATGAAGAAAGCTGACTTAATCTGATGCCTTCTGTCTCTCTACTGACTTTCAAGTAGTTTCAACTGAGAACTTCTATTGAAGATGTGCTTTTGTATTTTATCCCTTTTACAGTGGCAAAGCTCTGCTTGTATGGGGAACAACAGGTATTTTTTCTGTTGTTTGAAGCTTTTATTACAAGCATATTCAATAAGGAAAAAAAAACCCAACCCTGATATATATTTAATCTGTTTACACTTCAGTTCGTCCATCAATCTATAGGAGAGGTTGGGACATGTAGCCACAAAATCATGATTTTTCTCTCTCATTCCTACCAGGCCCCCACCAAATCAAGCAAGGCACCTGTGAGGTGGTCGCTGTGCACCGATGCTGCAATAAGAACCGCATAGAAGAGCGCTCGCAGACTGTCAAGTGTTCCTGCTTCCCAGGACAGGTTGCTGGCACAACCCGGGCTCAGCCTTCTTGTGTTGAAGGTAAGACATTGCTCATCAGTTTCTCCAGCATTTCAAAAGGGGCCTCAACCCATCAAGACCCTCTTCTCTGCTTTACTGTCTTTGTAATTCATGGACATCAAGGCTGCTCTGTGATGATTTGTGTGAATCTTGGTGAATATGGAAAGTCTTGTGTTCCTCAAGAGGAACAAATGGTGGCTCCATCATAGGACAGTAGGGAAGAGGTGCTTCAAAGCCTTTTTGTTCTCTTGTGTACTTGGCTCTTACTGGGAAGTTAGTTCTAGGGGCCATAGACACCAGATCTGTGGATGCTGAAGTTTCTACATAAAATGACATAGATTTTTGCATAGTACCTGTACATGTCCTCTAGATCACTTAAAATTGTATCTAGACTACTTACAGTAGTGAATACATGTAAATACTACACAGATAGTCTTACTGTATTATTAGGGATTTATGGCATTTATACATGTTTAGTACAGATAAAATTAAAAAGATTATTTTCTGGGGTAAATTGAATCCATGGACAGTGAGGTTGTGGATAAGAGGTCCATTGATGCTCAGGACTCAACATTTGCTGTGTGTGTGTGTGTGTGTGTGTGTGTGTGTGTGTGTGTGTGTGTGTGTGTGTGTGTGTGTATGCTGGTCGTGGAGCCTGAACTCTGGGCCTGGGTGCTGTCCCTCAGCTCTTTGCTCAAGGCTAGCGTTCTACCACTTAAGCCAGCCACAGTGCTACTTCTGGCTTTTTCTGCTTATGTGGTGCTGAGGATTTGAACCCAGGGCCTCATGCATGCAAGGCAAGCACTCTACCACTGAGCCACCTTCCTAGCCCCTGTGTGGTATTTTAACCTTACACTTAGTGGGGATTTTGTTTGCTGGTGTGTGTGTGTGTGTGTGTGTGTGTGTGTATGTGTGTGTGTGTGCGTGTGTATGTGTGTATGTGTGTGTGTGTGTGTGTATGTTGGTACTGGGGCTTGAACTCAGGGCCTGGACACCATCCCTTGAGTGCCTGCCTTGAGTGAAAAATCTATCACTTGAGCTACAGCCTCACTTCTGGCTTTTTGGTGGTTGGAGAGAAGAGTCTTACAGACTTTCTTGTCTGGATTGACTTTAAAGTGAAATCCTCAGATCTCAGTTTCCTGTATAGCTAGGATTATAAGTATGAGCCACTGGTACCTTGCTGTTGATTGATTTTTGAGATAGGTTATCATGAGTTTGATAACCTCCTCCTTCCAAGTGCCGGGATTGCAGCTATGTATCACCATGCTTGGCTTCATGCTTCGTGTGATAGCCACTCTATTATTTCCAGTCTATCCTTTTAACAAATATTTCTAGGACACCTTTAGAGCAAAGTCCCTGAGAAGAGTTTGGGATCATGTATCATTCATTTGTATTCTCTAAGTCCCTTATCAGGCTACTGTGCCAATAGCTAAACTCCATCTATGAATCGATGTTGATGGTTGTTGATGGAGGCCTGGGACTAGTTGGTTCCTTTTGATGCCGCTGGCATCTTCCAGCAGACACCTTGTTAGACACAAGCATCTGTCCCCAGGGGAGCAATGCCCAGGCTTAGCTTCCAGCAGTCGCTCTGCAGTGGGGTGAAAACTCCCTGACAGACAACACTTGCAGCTGTGTGCAATGCACGTCTAAAGGTCAAGCAGTTAAGACATGAACACATACAAGTCCTTAACTCCGTATCTTGTTGCTCAGTCAGTGATAACAGTGGACTTAAATCCCCACACCCACACCTATGCACACACACCTCAGCTGTGTGGTCATAGGGGTGTGTTCAGAATATCAACCACCTTAAAAGCAGTAAAATAGTAAACACATCCTCAACTATTTTACCAGGAGTTCTTGGGGTTAAATGTACTTGGTTCAGCTACGATAAGGATAACACAGGACATCTGTAAACTATTACCTAAAATACCTACTGTGCTCCCCAGTAGTATCCCATAATGAGAGATGATAACCTTTCTACAAGGCAGTATATAAATATTCATTTAGAAAGGCATAAGGCTAGATGAAGAACCTCATGTTAATTCAAGCAGTTTTTGCTCTTCTGTTACAGAAAACCCTTTCTCTTTTTAGAGCTTTTTTTTTTGGATGTGGGGATTATCGATAAAGGATTGTGGACCTATAAAAGGAGATAAGAATCTTTCACATTAAAAAAATGACATTTAAACACCAGTTTGCCAAGTTTCTATATCTCCAGTTGGGACAGTAGAATCTATTTATCTTCTCTGATAACTGATTCCCAATCATGCATATTCCATCTCCTTGCTGCATTGCCAATCAGTCCACATTTCCCCCATCCCTGCTGCTACCTCCACAGCCAGGGACCAACATTACATTTTACGGAGTTTACTCTTCCGAGTCTTTCATTTTTCCTGTGCTGTAGCCTGGATCTTCCTTCTGTACACTAGAACTTTTCAGTCTCATGCTGAAATCCGTAGTCGAATGCCTTCCTGGGGTCTCGGAAACCTTGCATTGTCTCTTGTCATGACTCTACCTTTGCCAATCCAAACTCTTTTTCCGTTTCTTCTCACTTCTCATTTACTCTGTCCTTCACTCACTCTGTCATTTCTCCTCTTCTCCAGGACATATATCTGGCCTGCTGAATTCCCATTCTGTTCTCCCCATCCTGTGTGTGTTCTTGTGTGTCTCCATGTACCCAACCCATGACATTTAATCACTGCAAAACTTGGTGAATGTCTTTGAATAGCTTGTGGATATGTATGGAGGGTTCTTACTTTGATCCCTCTGCTTTGGCTGACAACAAACTTGTTTTTATTGTAACAGAGAATTGATTCATATTCACTGATCACACATCACCCTCTCCAGATAACAACAGCATTTGCGTGGCTCTGCAAGCTTTAAATTTGTTCTAAAGGAACTTATGAAGCATCATATGGACTATTTTTATATCCTGCCTTCTTGAGAATCTTTAGGTAAAGAAGTTTTATAAGTAATGTTAGGCACTGGTGGCTCACACCTGTAAACCTAGCTACTAAGGAGGCTGAGATCTGAGGACTGCAGTTTGAAGCCAGCCCAGGAAGCAATGTCTAAGAGACTCTTATCTCCAATTAAACACCCCAAAAAGTTGGAAGTGGAGTTATAGCTCAAGTTGTAGAGCACCAGCTTTGAGCAGAAAAACTAAGAGATAGTCTTCAGGCCCTAAGTTCATGCCCCGTGACTGGTGTACACACACACACAAACACACACACACACACACACAACACACACACGGTTAATAAGTAATGCTCTATAATATTCAGACTTTTGTTGTTACCTGGAAGTCACCAATAGAGAAATGACTATTATTGGCATCTTCATCTTAATAAAGGAAATATGAATACTTACTCTTTACTAGCTTGCTTTAAATTATATATATGGGAAAAATCTCCTTTGGCCTCTACCCTTGATTTCTTATATATGTTTAGTCAGTATTTGTATGTATACTTGTATATATTTATGTATTTAGAGATAGATATTTCATTTGTATTTTAGTATGAATTATGGTATGAATCAATATAAACCTGTGTTTGCCCAATTTCTTAGATCAATCTGCTTTATTGCTATCAGAACTATGTTGAACAGATCTCTGTGTCTTTTAAATTTGGCTTTTCAAGTGTTCCATAACAGTCCATGGAAGTGGATAGGCCATTCCTTTACTGATAAAAAATGTGGCTTTCCAAGTCTTTCCATTTCTTTACAAATAACCCAACATCATTCTTTGTAATGGATGAGAAAATTCCATTGTCTATATCTCAAATAATGTAATTCCTTAGAAAGGCAAAATCAAAGTTCAGCAAAATAAAATACCAGGAAAGAAGCAATACTCAAAAGGGATGGGGTAGGGTCAAGGAAAAAATGAGTAGATGAATGAAGAGAAGAGAGCGAGAATGCAATCAAGAGCCCAATGTATATCCTATAAAATAGAGCGAAGGAAGGGTGGGTATAATAAGGATGGGTAAAAATGTTGAAGGGGTGGCATTGACCAAGATATATTGTACTCATAACCTGCTTTGTTAAATGTCAACTCCTTTGTACAATGGTTTATAGATAGTAGTAGTACTACTACTACTGCTACTGCTACTACTATTACTACTACTACTAATGATAAAGAAAATGTGGTTGTGTTTGTGGTATTTCAAACCATAAATCATGATCTTACTGTGTTAAATCACATTCTTTGATAAATCTTGTATCCTTCTTCAATTCCCTCAAATTCCTCCTCTTTTTTAATAATATAATAATACAGCTGTCAATGAAATATAGCTGTCAATTAAAAAAAGATAGATCTGATGATGCATAGGTCAATGGTTAGTAGCAGTCTGTGACTAGAAGCTTCAGATTACACAGTGCCGGGCAAGTTTTATGTACTGTGGCCCTTTAGGAGGACATTTATAGCATGAGAATCCTAGAAAGCCAGGCTTGTGAAGATACCATCCTCTCCTCCCTCTCCATACCTAGCACTGCCTGGTAAACAGTCAGTGGCCAATAAATGTGCATTTGTTCCAAGTCACTGAGAAAGGGGTGGGAAGTGTCAGCTTTAGCGAGGATGTGTGTCTGTTTTTGTATCTCCCTGATCTTCTATTCCTTATATGAATGTTTCCACAAGGGCTTTTTAGCTCTCCCTGCTTAATCTTTATCCCATAATAATTATGCAGTATCACGCTATTAATTGGCATGTGGGAAGACCCATTCTCTGTAGATAGGTTCTTCTTATCTTATTTGTCAATGAGACTGGAGAGGATCTAAAATATCAAATTCACTGAATTTACATTTAAATTAAAACAAAGGCAAAAAGATGTTAGAGCAGGGCACTAATTAATATTGACATAGAAACTGGAATATCCTTTTACATTTTTTGGTTAATCTATACCACAGACACTTAGCTGGTGTTTTTCAGTCAGTGCTTTTTCAGAAAAACACAGCTTTTATTAGTTAAATAGAAAATTTAGCCATTTTCATCCCCCCAGCTCCCCCATTTTGGGTTATAATTAACTTATGAAAAT